GTGGTTATCCATGGATTGCAAGCCTTCAATTTTGTGTAAAAACAATAATAGTTGAGAATTAAAATGTGTTAATAAAGCAATATAACAGCAAAGTATCAAGTTAAAAAGGAAGGACGTAAGAAACGAATAAGCAACATGGAACAATTCTAATAAGCAAAATTCAAAATAAATGCAATGACATACTTGGCTGGCTGTCCTGTTATCGGGCAAAGACGCATTCGGCGCTTTGGCCTGCTAGAAGTAGCAGATTGGTGCTGAGAACAATTGGAAGTTACACCTGTGATAAGGGTGAGGTCTGCCGAAGCAGGGAGTGCCGAACGTAGGCAGCTTAAATCGGCAAAAGTGACTAAACTTCTGGCACATCTTGCCTCTCTGTTAACGATCAGTGGTTTCGAAACGACATCACCACTAAGGAGGGGATGTTGTAAAAGAAGAATGCCAAAAAACGTGTAAAAAAGTGGAGATAAAAAAAGAAATAAAGACAATATGGTTAGACGTCAAATATATCTATGTATCTTGCCTGAGAGCTAAAGTAACCATCGAGTGTTCAATCTTAAAGGAAACGAAAGATGACTTTTTTACAGGCTTAGAATGTTCAAAATCAGCGGATAAAAAATTGTATCCTTAAAGTGCGTCCTAACCTAAATCGAACTAATATTCAATCTAGTTTATATAAGCATAAATATAGTAGAAAATATATATTTCAAGCCCCTCAAGTGTCAAAGTGTCAAGCATGTTGAAGAGGGTAAAACAAATGGTTCAGATTAATCGATCTACTGAACTAATTTTATTTATGAGCGGATCCCAAAAAATAATTATTGGTTAAATATTAAAAACAAATTTCGATACTTGTCGATTAAAATATTAAAAAATGCAACTAACCTCTTATAATCTATGGCGACAGCAAAGGCGTTGGGTTGCTCCCCGATGTCTGGCACGGTGAAGGAATGGAATCGGATCATAGGGCCAAGTTGTGTGGTTTTATGCGTTCGGGCCTTTTTCCGTTCAATCTCCATTCGCTGATATTGAGCTAAGGTTGAATAATAGATTGATAAATATGTTCATCAAATTGGGCTCGGTATTCCCGATATCCCAATAAGGGATATATTGGTATCGAAAATAAAAAGATTTAGAAATTTTTTTGCAAATATATTTAACGTAAAAAATATATCGCTTTGCCTATATTTAAAAGGCTATCACCCTTTTAACTGCTCTACAATTAGTCCAGTGTAAAAAGATCTATGATGATTTCTGCAATTCTATCTGTTGCATAGTTACAGAATAACACGAACATGCCAAAAGAGCGCACTTTTGTCTTCTTTATTTTCATCTTCAGTTGTATGGAAAAAGTCATCAAAAATGGATGAGCAAGCTTGGTGTAAATAAATGAACAAATTATCGGGAACTATCCTCGCGTATTCTAAGCAACGGCTAGGCTCAACTCCAGTTTGAGTAAAGTAGTGAATGGATTCTAGGCTAAACCCCATCATGATGACGAATTCTTCGTACCTAGCTATCGTTTAATCCTACGGGAAAATTATTGATGACGCTTCAGAAGAAAGTTCATTAGAATAAGGATGAAAAAATCTAAATTTAGTCTGTCGTGATGGACCTACAAACAACGATGTATCATTTTAAAAACTAATCATAGCAGACGAGTCAAGGAAATTCAAAAGCTTATGCCAGCGCATAACCTATACATTTTTCTAAGGTATAGTGATTTTATGAGATATATTCACCCTATTTTGTTTAGGGTGATGCAGGATTGGAATTTGAATTTTTCTACGATGATATGAATAGACCCATCGTTTCTATACAATTTTAGATAGCCTTACTTTCCCAAAAGGTGTTCTCATCCAGGGTCAACTGCAGTTTCGACTTCCCATAGGTCTTACCAACATCCCCGGAGGGAGTCGAGCCATGACAGTGCAGCATGTGATCTCGACACGTCAACCACTAGTTGTACTTTCATGGTGCGACTCTCGCCAGGGGTGCTAATAAGACCTAGGCGAGGTTGAATCTGCAGTCCAACCTGGATAAGAACACCTTTTAGGAAAGCAAGGCTATGTAAAATTTAATAAAAGCGTCAGCTCCACTCATATGATTTCAAGAAATTTCAAACACCATCATATTTCATATAACTTATTTGCTTTTAGTCTCGAAACCACAGTTATGCACGAAAAATATAGTAATTTTGTTCACTTAAAATGTGCCGATATAGTAGTATGCGCATTTGTCATTCAGGTGTACGTAGAAGCACATACCCAGCGGTAATAGTTACAAGTGATCAGAAACGATCGAAAACACTATGTAGAAAATCAGGTTTTCGAAGAATCCCTTGATAAATACATGTTGGAGTAGCTTTCGTTTCGTTTGAAGAGGCGAGTGAATTTTGGCTTCACCGGACCTATTTGCACAAATCTTCAGCTATAGCTCCAAATCAATCACATTACAGCTTCTAGTGAGACCAATTTACGAATCCATTCTACTCGCCTCTTCAAGCGAAATGAAAGGTACTCCAACATGAATAGAAAAAAACAACTCAATTAGCATAAATACATTAGAAGTAACAAAGTTTTTGTTTCTTACTATGGGGATTTGTACGTAAAAACGGGATAAACAAATGAAAATACCGGCAGCCACACAGACTAGCTAGGATATAGGTGTCAATCAGACTTTCTAAACGTCCAAAATAATAGTGCTTGTCTCGACTTCTGATTTATTCAAAAAGTTCCGATCAGATAACTTGGTAGTGGCAAAATTTGATTTGTCGGTGCAAAAAAGGAGAGGATATTCATAAGTGACCTTTGCGTAAAGTGTGTGTTTAGAGACAGCCACGCTCGTGATGTAAAAAATTCTAACATATTCCTTAAAACGTTTTTATTCAAAACCTTTCTACCAGTTCGTAAATACGAAAGCAAAGACATGATATGGGAAAATATCTCAAATGAGCTAGATAATTGAGTCCAATCCCTGCAAGTCTGGTATTAAGACCCTCAGAGGAATCTTTCATCAAAAGACTGCATGCCTCCATGCCATTTAAATGGATCGCCATTTTGTCTACATTATTTTTCAATCTATCCATGGCAATCACTACACCACTCTTATATGCTTCAGTATAAAATACATTATTTTATTGTAAATATCTATATATCATATTCAAATAATAGGATTTCTTAGGAAAGGTTACCAAAATGGGGAATCATTTGTCTTTCTATACAAGTTTTAACCAAAACTGGCAGCTATTGATTAATTGAACTATAGAATAAGTCTCGTCACATGAGAAAGTAATGGATAATGAATCAATTTTCAATGTAACAGTAGGCATAACTAAAGAAAGTGTTACTTTCCTTGAAAATCGTTTTTATTTCCTATTTATCAATTCATTAGAACGAAAGCAGTCATAATAGGAGAAAAAATAATAGATTATTCAGTTCTTTTCAAAACTCTCCAAATCTAAAAATACATTCCTTATTAATCTGGCTTCATTTTTAATCAAGTCTAAAGGATAACTATTCTCAAGAAGTGTACTTTCAAGCCTTTATAACTCACTATCCCAACGCTCTGCCCACAAGTCTTGTATTCTATACATACAAAAGAAAGGACACAGAAACATGCAGATGCACAAACATATGTTGCAAGATTGACATACGACTAAAGCTAACGCAAATCACCAAAAATATGCATAGGTTTAGTCCATATATATAGTATGCAGAAGTAAGCGGATGAGCTTCCCAAACTTACAAGTTGGTTGATTTTATTAGCGCAACTTGGTCTTGTTGTCAGGGGGACTTAGTAGAAGGCACCTAGTCCGAAGTCGTCTGCGATAGTAGTTTTCATGATTCCCAGTAT